GTGGGAAAAGGAAGAGGGGAGGGATGCGTTGGGATGAGTTGCAGAAGAACCACTTCCAGCCCTCCAATTCTTTCTTTTTTTTTCGGATCTCGACTCGGCCCCCAACCTCCACCCTTACACGCGCACAAAAATCAAGTTTGCGTTGGGAGGAGCCGGACTCTCCACCCTAGGCCGCGCTGGGTTGCGACATGTGATCCTCAGTTGTGGGCCGCCGGCCTGGGCGGCGCAAACCCCGTCCGGGAAGCCCCGGGCAAGCGTGGCTGTGGTCGGCTGCGGAGAAACTAAACAGCTACAGCGACTCCCTCCTGCCCTTTCCCCGCTCCTTCTACCAGTCCACAAGGTTCGAGCACACATTGCAAACTCCGGCATTTTTCCCAAGCTCAAAAAGTCAAGGAGGGAAGAGGACCCCCAAAGCCGAGGACAGAAGGCCAAGCCTGAAAACTCGAAGGGCTTCCTTCCTCCTTGCCCGTCCTCTTCCCTCCCTGCTCCTCCGCGTACCTTGCACAAGAAGTCGATATCGTAGAAGGCGGACAGAAGTGTGGTCGACATGTTTCTGGATCCTGTAATGGTCGGAGCTGCAGGCTGGGAGGTCCGGAGGAGCCCTCGGGGCGGCGCGGCCGGGCTTGAGCCACGACGAATAACGGGCGAGGGGCGGGGGAGGGACCGAAAGTTTGCTGGGGGGCGAGAAAAGAGGGAGCGGGGGCAGCAGCTTGAACTGGTCTGAGGGTGCCCGGGAGTGCAGAGTGGGGGGAGAGGAGAGTGAAGCTAGAGCGCTCCTCCGCGCCCCGGGGTGCCCGGCCCGCCCCCCCGCGCGCGGAGCCGACTGCAGCTCGCGGACTGTTGGAACTCAGCCGCCCGAGAGCGCGCGCCCTATATAGAGCCCCGGAGCGCGGCAGCGGCGGGGCGGGCCTGCCGCGGGGAGGGGACAGAAGGCTGACCCCACCGGGGTCTCCAGGCAACGCCGCCCGCCGGTTTGCGGACGTCAGGCGCCTTCCTGGCCTCCCATTGGCCGCCGCCAATTTTTTTCCTCTGGGGGAGGGGGCGGAGAGGCCTCGGGGCGGGGCTGGCCGCTGGGGCGCCCGGGGCGGCGTGGAGAGCTCGGCCCAGATGGGTGCTGCTGGGTGGCGGCGGGAAGGTACGGCTCCCCTCCTTTGGGGCTGTACTGTTGGAAATCCCCTGCACATTTAACGTGGCCGGGTTTCTGCAGCCCTGGACGTGTCTTTCCCCGCCCGGTCCTGCTAGGCGAAATTGCGGAGCTTTTATCTCCCACCCTCGGTTTTATACTGGGCGCGGGAATTGCAAAATGCAAGAATATTGCAACCGTCCGCGCGGCCCGGCTGTTTTTGCTAAGGGAGCTCCGGCCGGGGGGCGGGGACTCTGGGCCCGAGTCTGACCGGTAGTGCCTCCATCCCGACTGCACGTGGAGACGCGGTGGGGGTGGGGGCCGGAGCGGCCACGCGGGCGGCTGCCAGGGCAGGCAGTGTTGCCCGGAGGAGCCTGGGCCGGTTCCTCCGCCCCTCTTCCCGCCCAGCCTGCAGTAAACAGGGCTTGAGCGCCGAGCCCTGCCGGGCAGGGCTGAGTGTCTGAGGACAAGGCGCTGGCTTTGCTAATCACATCACAAGACCTTGAGCCAGGGCCAAAGGCGCGGAGTGGCGCGGGGCGTCCCGGGCGGGGGAGCCGGCTGGGAGGACGGGAGGAAAGGCCAGGAGAGCCGCGCAGGCATGGAGGCACTTCCCAACGCCTCGTCCGTCTGCTGGTCTGTCCGGCTTTCCCCTGCCCTCCTGGTGGTTGTGGTACAGCTGCCAGCCGAGGCTCCCGCCCGCCCGCCGCAGCCTTGGCCTGGCGCGCCCTCCTAGCCCCTTAACTCCCCGGCCGTTGAGGGCGCCGCGCCCCGCTTTAACTCGTTGTGGGCTGCGGGCTCCGGCTGAGGCCGACCCGCAGCCAGGCTGGGCTAGGCACCGAGGATGCGCCTGATGGGCTCGCCTCGGTTTCCTTCTCTCGCCAGCCCCACACCCCAAAAGCCCGCGTTGGGAAATGCTGTTTGCCAACGGCGCCCTCCGGGTACGGGGCAGACACCCC